AAACAGCACTACTGTGAGCCTCATCTGTACCCAAGAGGTCAGGAAGTATGTGATTCTGAACCAAATTGCAATTGGGACGCTGCTATTTTTAGCATACTTGAATCCTTATAATCTGACAATATACACCTTTTAGATGGACTATTTTACCTTCAAAACTGTCTAAACCAAGGAACCATACAGCTGGCTTTTACTTATTATAAAGAGATGTTTTATAAATTTGTATGTCTTATACAAGGTGTTTACCCCTTTTTACAATTATCTATTTATTTAAAGTTAGAGACAGTATGCACATAGGTTTTATTGCTGTATAAACTGCGGAGGAGTAACTGATGGACTGAAAGTGTAACTGTTTAATATATTAATATGTTGGATTACAGTCATGTTTACTGTAAAGTATACATGCTTATCAAATTTTTATTTACACATACAATGTTTAGTTTAAATACAGACTACAGTATACATAAGCTCTCAATACCACCCCAGAATCTATCACTACCTTTGAACACTTCGAAAGGACTATTAAATATATTAACTGCATATAACATATATCAATGATGAGAACTTCTAGCCAAGGATTTAATTATTAACTGCATAAAAATTGAACAGATTTGCATCTTCACAAATTTATTTAGAAAATTTTATCATACTGAATATGGTTTATTGCATCCTCATGCCTGTATTGCAGAGCCAGTTTTGATAGACCCTGCTACTCTACTAGCACATGGGCTATCCCCTTGATGCAGACCTTGCACAACCCGGCTGCAGATGAGATGCCTAGTCTCATCCTCTCTGTGGAGACCCCTCGCTCCACATTCCCATATTGCCATACAGGCAGTTTTTTCATCTCTTAAATGCAATACTGAATGCATCTACTATAACGTTCAAAATCTATAATTAATAGATCTGGTGTAGCTTTCTCATTTTAGAGTTTTGACATTGAATATCCTTTTTACAGCTTTCTCATCATTGAATACTGAAGATAATTTTATAGCATTCCAATGTTTGAAACTTGGATTTTCTAGCATTCTCATAATTTAAACACTGATTATCATTTATAGCATTTTCATCATTGAATATTATTTTAATAGCATTCTCATGATTCGAATACTGATTATCATTTTTATAGAATTTTCATCATTGAATAGTGAATATTGTTTTTATGGTATTCTCATTATTGAATACTGAATATCATTTTATAGTCTTCTCCTCTTTAGATACTGAATTTCATTATCATAACATTCTCATATTCAAATACTGAATATTATTTTCTGGCATTCTGGTCATTGAATACTGAATTTAATTTCTTATTATTATAGCATTCTCATGCTTGAACCAATTTGACTCATCTGTAAATTTATGTATTGACGCTGGTCCTCTGATAGTTACTGCAGGTATATAAGAGTGTCATCTTCTTCAATTAAGTATGCACAAGATTTGTTAGGTAATTCTTAACACATAGCATTATGATGTTTTATCTATCATTACAAAATGTATTTACATTATTATGATTTAATATGTAAACAGGTGTATTTTATTTTTATATTTTTTTCTCTCTCATGACTTTATTGAAGGTGAATAAGTCCACACTCCTAAATCCTTGGGGGCACTCAGCTGTTCCATCTGAGTTTTTGGACCTTGATGGAATTTTATCACAGGTCATTTCTAAAATTTCATTCATCCCCAAGCATTTCGGGGACAAATTTGATCAAAATTATTCCAGCGCCAGTTTGATAGACCCTGCTACTTACTACTTGTAATAGCACCCCATGGGCTATCCCCTAATGCAGACCTTGCACAACCCTGCTGCAGATGAGATGTCTATTCTCATCCTCTCTGTGGAGACACTCCACTTCCTGGCTGGCGCATTGTCGGGCAGGCAGGTTCTTCCTCACACTGTTGGTTGCAAGCTGACTTAAAATTTTTATGTTCAGAATTCAGAAAATCTGTATTTTATTTTTTAGGGAGCAAGGAAGAAAAATACATATTTACAAACCGCTTCGTTACCTTATTATCTCGCCTGCAACGATAGTCTCGAACGCGACACTATTGCCTGTTCTGATTCCGATGTAGGCGTCGGAGGTGTCAACAATGGTTGAAGTTTAAAATAAGGTTGACAGTTTATTTTTAATGTGCTTCGTTGGTTTTTCCGTTTGAATGGTTTTACACTAGTAATTTTTTGGGGCCCTTTATAGCTTGCTGTTCGGTGTGAGCCAATGCTCCGTGTTGAAGGCCGTACCTTGACCTATAATGGTTTACTTTTATAAATTGTAACTTGGATGGAGAGATGCCTCATTGGCACTCATACCACATCTTCCTATATCTATTCGACCGTTAAATTAGCAATCTGATTCCTTATATTGCTGCTAGAAGAACAAAGAAACTGCTGGTTCTTTTTAACCTAATACGATATGTGTACTGTTAAAGATCGAAAGAGTGATTTGGGTATGGGTAGTGTAGAACTACGGTCAACAAGATCGAAATGGAAATTTGAAATTCAATGCCATATGTTGAGAGCGTGTGTATTCCATGTGATTTATTATGTACTTGCTGCCAATAAACATTTCCTGATATTATATATATACGTGTAGTGTTTTTAATGTGAAGAACTGTCTCATCATAGTAAAACTGTCTATCTAAGTGATTAATATCTTCAATATAATGTTGTCCCTTGTGGAAAACAAATGGACCTGCCACAGCTTGCATATACCCTCGGCAATGAGATGCATTTATTAACTTTTAAAGCCATACTAATAATTCTGTACAACAGTCACGGGTCGAAACGTTCCCAAGTTAAGGTAGAGTACTGATTTGTTGTTTATATATAAGGTAATTTCTGATACTTTTATTATACTAGTAATGATTACTAGTAACTTTCTCCGTCACTTTATAATTACATTAGATGTATGTTTCATTATAATACGTTATTCTGATTGGCTACACTGCAATCTCGCGTTATTCCTTAATCAACTTCATTACACGATAAAATTTATCATTCATGATGACCCGAGGTCCCACAATAAAGTGCACAGGTAAATTAAATAAAAACTTGATAAAAATCGTGTTTTCATGATCCTAGCTAAAAAATGTAATTATAAGTATTGAATGCTTCTTTTTGTAACTTCATAGGGTTGTAAAAGCGTTGACCGTGCGCACATTTTTAGAATGAAGTGCTTCCGCGCTTCATACAAAATGTACTTCGGTCAACGCTTTTACACCCCATTGAAGTTACAAAAAGAAGCATTCAATTCTTAAATGAAAGCTGTTTAAATTTTGCTGCGTGATGACTCAAGCGCTTGGTCTATTGACTGCTTAAATCGAGTGCGCGGATAATGTTATATATAACATTTAAGAATAAGATTATTCAAAGGACCAATAAGTGTAAATGTATCTATGAAAGAATTCAGAAAATGTTTAAAGTGGTTTGTGGGAATGAAATCACTCACTTCAAGTGGATTTTTAAATAATGACAATAATACTTTATTAGTTCGGTGTCCCTTTTCTTGATTAACTTTCATCAGTTACGCCCAAACCCTTTGAATGAAGCGTATGATGGATAATAAATACCTTAATAATTTAAGAGTATATATATATATATATATGATCAAAGCGGACCTAATAAGAATAACCAAATCATTGTATTGCCAACTTTGCCTATTGGAGTTAAACCTTAGTTTCTGAATAAACTTTAAATCTATTAACGGCCGGATAATATTGATTTGGCGTTTCAGCTGACTGTTTTGATTCGTATGTCACTAATGACTCTTATATCAAGCAGAAACGCGCATCTGGCGTACTAAATTATAAGCCTGGTGTATTTTATGATTTTTTTTAAGAAAGTTATGTCATCTATTATGAGTTGGTAATACCCGCCAAGACTGGCAGTCCACCAGTAGCTGTAGCTTCGTGCATGAGTTGGTAAGACTTTATAAATTTGGTGCGTCCGATGTGACGCTTGTCTGGATTTACCTTCATCAGGTACGCTCAAACAAACAAAAAATCACTTTCGTGTAAGACATCATGTTACAACATATATTTTTGGGTGATACGTTGGCTCATATATTAATATTAAGAATAAGAATATCTTATCGATGTAAATTCTTACATTATATTGTGATTATAGATCTCAAAATGGGATTATTTGGCAGATTTTAACAGATTTACATCAAATGCAAGAAGTTTGAAGCTCTAAAGCAAACAAGTACGTAAGATACAATTCAAAAATACAAATACTAATATCTGACGGACTAATGTCTTGTGAACATTAACTGAAGGGTGTTATTTCATAGATTTTTTTTTATACTTTTTGATATTTGATTTCAAAAAACCAAAAAACTGACCTTATCATATCTTTTCTTTTAGTGTCTTGACTTCTATAGCTTGATATCTGCAAAGAAACCTTAAATTTCGAAAGCGTCAGCTCAAACATTATCCATAGAAATCTGAGTATTATTAGCTAGCTGAGTTCTATCAGAGACATATAATTCATGTGTTATATGTCTCTGGTTCTATGAACACTCTTAAAAGCTTTTCTATATACTCTACTAAAAAGGTTTTTTTATTGACTTATAAAGTCATGTTTCATTTTGCAATGCTGTTCAACCATGAGAGTGCTTTTTATATGTATAATACAAACTTTACTTTTTTAGGTATTGACGGGCGTGATGCAGATTGAATTTGTCAATTTCAAAGATAACACCACTGAAAACGAGACTTATGGAAACGTGAGCGATGAAAATGCACTGTCTAAAGACTTCTGTGTCGACTCTTACTGCCTGCCAATAGCCACTACTTTAAGTGCGATTTCAATTGTCGGGCTAGTGACGAATTTGATAGTTATTGTGACGATTGCCAGTGACAGAAAACTTCACCAACCTACCTTTGTTGTCATTTGTTCCCTTGCCGTGGCGGATTTTATGTTTTTGTTCACACGATATCCCAGATATCTTATACAATTTTTTCATACTGCAAAATTTTCCGTAGAATTTTTAAGAGCCGTTAAGATGGCTCTAGATTTTAGTGGTTTTCTTGCTGGAATAGCATCGATTGTTCATATTGTTTTCTTATCGGTTGTTAGATATTTTATCATAGTTCATCCGTTTAGAAGCTATGTTCTTCTTACTAATTTACGTGTCATCTTTGTGACAATTGGAATCTGGGCGTTAAGCACTGGAATCGCTGTTCTATACACCTATGCTGTACTCATAAAAGGATCCGAAGATACTAGACTTGAAGAAACAACAAACCTCGTTTTAACGATTTTATTTTCCGTTCTCCCTGTTCTCTTTATAACAATTTTGCATGTTTTGAAAGCAAAAGTTCTCATTAAGTCCATTTCAAACTGTTCGCAAACTGTACGGAACATGTCACGTGTTGTTACAATTATCCTGACTAGTTTCATTATAACGACAACACCATCTAGCACAATTGACATTATGATCATATCATTAGGATACCATTACACTAAAACGCGATGGTTTTTTATTACATCACAAGTAGCAAAAATATTGCTATTTTTAAATTTTACTGTAAACCCATTCGTTTATTTTGTGAATTCAATTCAGTTTCGAAAAAGTTTTAAAACATGTTTCGGAAGAAATGGACACAGTAGAGGTGATACTACACATACAAGTAACATACATGCTTCGAATCGCGAACGCTCCTTGTCTAACTTATCTTTATCGAGATCACAGCAGATACAATTGGTAGAATCAACCAGACTTTAATTACACGGATAAGATTTTTCTATACTATGTTCAATTTTTCTTATCAGTCCATAAAAACTAAGTACTGAATTTTAAAGTTTATAAAACGAATGGTGGCAAGCAGAGACCTTTTATTGTAAACGCATGGAATAAAATTGAGAATGGAAATGGGGAATGTGTCAAAGAGACAACAAACCGACCATAGAGCAGACAACAGCCGAAGGCCACCAATAGGTCTTCAATGCAGCGAGAAACTCCCGCACCCGGAGGCGTCCTTCAGCTGGCCCCTAAACAAATATATATACTAGTTCAGTGATAATGGACGTCATACTAAACTCCAAATTATACACAAGAAACTAAAATTAAAAATGATACAAGACTAACAAAGGCCAGAGGCTCCTGACTTGGGACAGGCGCAAAAATGCGGCGGGGTTAAACATGTTTTTTGAGATCTCAACCCTCCCCATATACCTCTAGCCAATGTAGAAAAAACAAACGTACAACAGTACGCACAGTAAAACTCAGTTTAAGAGAAGTCCGAGTCCGATGTCAGAATAGGAAACAAAAGAAAATAAACAAAATGACAATAATACATAAATAACAACAGACTACTAGCAGTTACTGACATGCCAGCTCCAGACCTGGAATTGCAACAAGTGCAAATAAGAGGTCAAACGCTACAGCATGGTTCATGAAATAAATGTAATTTTTAAGTGACAAAACAAGATTTTAACAAAGAACGGTATATTACAAGTAACATTACAGAATTTAAAACTGAAGTAATCTTTTAAACTGTGACCACTGAATATTAGTGAGGACACATTTGTTCACCTGCAAACGTACTAAGCACAGACTAAACTTGATAAGTTATTTTACGGACTGGGATGAAGTCAAAGGAGAAAGAATGATCATGCCACTTTTACGCTCCATGAAAATGAAAATCCAAAAGCTTATACGTTTACCAAATATTTCAGTCTGTATGCTATCAGTGATTAAGTTTTGATTTTTTTTTTCTTGAGTCCACTTGTATAAGGATATTTTGATACAAGAGGGCATATATAAAGATTTGATAGTGGCTAAATATATGTTTGGAAAGCCCTTGGCTCATATCTAATTTAGTTACTGTAGGTCACAAGTTAACAACAAAAAATGAGTTCTGCAACTACTGTCCAGATTATACCATCCCATTAATCAATAAGATTATATAATTAAGAAACTCTTGCGGTTTTGAATATGATTATTGACCCACGGAGTTATTGGCGGATCATTATGGAATCGAAAGTAAGGGAGCTACCATTTGATTTTTATTGGGGGGGGGGGGGGGGGGGGCTGGGGGTGCTAGGATGAAATTTGAAAAAAAAGGCAGGACAGGAGTTTTGAGTAAAAAAAGGCATGATGAGCAACTTGGCAAAAAAAAGGCAGTATGGCAATTTCTGTAAAAAGTCAGGATAAACTGCTTTTCCGGCGACGACTGCGGCGATGGCGGTGGCGTCAACAATTGTTAAGTTTTCTGCCTAAGTTAGTTTGATAGGATCGACTTGTGATAGATCAATGGTATTTTGTATGAAGTCGTATCACTATCAATGCATATGAGTTTGAAGACTATTTTGAGGCCGTGGACCTTCCAGTGACTTTGAATTAATAAGCAATTTTCAATGTTAAGTTTTCTGCTTGAGTTAATTTGATAGGATCTACTTATGATAGATAAATGATATTTAGTATGGAGTTGCATTACTATCAGTACATATCTGTTTGACGAATATTTTGAAGCCCTACCCCTTAGGTTATGGTCCAGTGACTTTGAATTAATTAACAATTTTCAATGTTAAGTTTTCTGCTTAAGTTAGTTTGATAGGATCTACTTGTGATAGATCAATGATATTTTGTATGAAGCTGCATTACTATCAGTACATATCTGTGTGACGACTATTTTAAGGCCCTGTCCCTTAGGTCATGGTCCTGTGACTTTGAATTAATTAGCAATTTTCAGTGTTATTTTTTCTGCTTAAGTCAGTTTGATGAGAACTACCTGTGACAGATCAATGATATTTTGTATAAAGTTGCATTACTATCAGTACATCTCAGTTTGTGTCGACCACTTCTAGGCCCTGCCCACAAGATCATGGTTCAGCGACTTTGAATTAATAAGCAATGTTGCTGTCCATCAGATTGTCTCTTTCTGAATTTTATGTGGACAGGTGAGACATATCTCTGTGTCAACAGTTTGCGAATATTTTCTTCCTACAAAAAACATCTGGAAGAGCTGTCCCATAAGGCTCAGAACTTGGGTCTCTATTATTTTTATTTATCTTAATTAATCCATATTTCCCTTTTCTACAGTGTACAATTATAGGTAGAATATTTTGATATCAAAACAGCACAATATATAAATGCTGAAAGAACTACTGAAAGAAAATACTGAATAAAACCAATCATCTTATATTTGAATTCCATTTGTGAATCAAACTGTAACAAGTCTGTTCTAGCCTGGAATAAAGAGCACAATACCATGGAAAAGATTACATAAATATTCAATTTTTTTTTATCCATGACATTTTTTTGTGCAGTTTTTCATATCTCCATGCTATATTCTTGGCCTTTCAACATTTTGTCGATTCCATAACGGTTTCCCTCACATGCATTTTTCTTTCCTTGGTTTGTTTCCAAATCATTTATTTCTATGCATGTAACCATGGAAGTATCAATATAATACTTCCATGATGTAACTAAGTGTAAATGGGATATCTGAAATAGAGGAATGAGAACAAATTAACCAGCAGCAAAATTGGATAACGGATATAATGCCGGCATTAAAATGTACAAGAGTAGTTTTGAATTTTTAACAAAATTGTGTTGCGCCCGATTATCTGATCCCTTAAATTCCCAGATTTTTTTTTCTAAATTCTGTCAAAATTATATGTTATTGAATAGGATAAAATAATCTGGACACTATAGAACATAAATGTCAGTTGTGATGTCACTATGATTTTTCATTTAAGGGGTCAAAAAGTGACCTTATCATACCTTCTCCTTTATTAATAACCAAAACGGATATCAATATTGTAGTTTGGAGCATAAAATACCAGTTTAAAGAACAACAACCAATGGACTAATTAATAAGTGCAAATAAAACCCCATTAGTTCAATGATGTAAAAACCTTGCTTTGGAAAGCTGGAACCTTATCATAATATCAGAATTTTTGAACAGAACAAATACGGACAAAACGTATTAATTAGTTCATATCAGTACCGAAAAAATAAATAGCCTATGGAGATCTACCATATTTTTGATATGTGTTCTTTGTTAATTTGTACAGTAGCATAGAGTTACTATTAAAGATATTGTGAATAAGATTTTTTAAACATGTGTAGTTGCTGTATAATTTGTTGACATGCATGATGATAGAATAAGAGAAATTTGAAAAAGAGCAAAAAGATACCAGGAAGGTTATAAAAACAAATACATGGCAAATAAAGACGGACAACACTTTGGTACACAAAAAGGTAGCAAGTCTAATAAGAATCTTAACAAAAAATTGATGTTGATTGAGCAAAAAAAACACTACTTATAACTTGTGGTGAATTCCAGTACTTTTGAATGATCAGCAGTTCCTGTTCCACTGGTGTCACCTGTCGTGTTGACCATGTTAAAATCAGAATAATAATACATGTAGCTAAAACAAGAGGTGAAAAATACCATATCAAGTACACATTCAAAAATCATTATTCAAAGAGAAGCTGGCAACGCCATTGTAAAAAAAAACCAATTTGAACATATACATGGTTGTCTGTGACAGATATTCCATAACAATCAACCAACTTGTGATAGCACCCATAAAACGTTTGATGGAATGACTTCAACTTTACCACTTGGAACCCTTGGTTCAATAACTACCCTGTAGGCAGCAACCCTCAGTCAATCAAATCAGGATAGGAAAAGCAAGCTCTGGAATATCCTATCAACTTGTCAACAGACAGGGGAAGGTGAAAAACGGAGGTATGGTATTCCAAGATGTGATGGTGACTTAAACAAACAAGTGCTTGCAACTAGCATGTTCAGACTTATCTAGGTATGTTATTAGCTGCTAAAACATGGGTCTTGGTATTCTTAATGGAGCAAGCAGTGAACAGAACTTCTTTAATTTAACAAGAGTGCACACACATTAAAATGTCTCACCTACTTTAATGACATGATTGATTTTATGTTGAAAGTCTTAAAAATAAATGTTTTACTTCAAGTATCACATAATCTTAAACATTAACATTATCAATGATCCATGACAATGAGGTCAAAGTCAGATAAGCCCTGCCAGACAGACATTTACACCTTACAATCATTGATTCCATACCCCAAATACAGTTGACCTATTGCTTATAGTATCTAAGAAACAGGAAAGCTCAACATTGATCAATGAACCATGAAAATGATGTCAAGGTCAGATGATACATGCCAGACAGATATGACAACCTTATAATCATTATTCGCACCAAAAATAGTTGACCTATTGCTAATGGTATCTAAAAAACAGACTTAACCAGGAAAACTTAACAATGAACCATGAAAATGAGGTCGATGTCAGATAATACATGCCAGGCAGACATGCACACCTTACAATCATTCCATAAACCAAATTTAGTTGACCAACTCCTTACAATATATTAGAAAAGGCAAACATGTATCCAAGTAAACATGTTTAATCATGCTACATTTTGTACGTGTCTGTCCAAGTCAGTGGTTATCTTTTGTTGCTGTGTATCATATTTGTTTTGTGCAGTAGTTTTCTTTTTGTTTGAATTGTTTTACATTTTTCATTTTGGGGCCTTTTATAGCTTACTATTATTGTGGAAGGCTGTATGGTGACCTATAGTCATCTGGTCTCTGGTGGAGAGTTGTATCATTGGCATTCATACCACATTTTATTTTTATATAAACCAGGAAACTTAACATTAACCAATGAACCATGAAAATGAGGTCAAGGACAGATTATACCTGCCAGACATCAATCATTACATATACCAAATATAATTGACCTATTGCTTATAGTATCTAAAAAAAAACAGGCCAAAACACAAAAACTTACATAGACCAATGAACCATGAAAATGAGGTCAAGGTCAATGGACAAATGACAGACGCTAACTTTGTAACATTAGGCCTCTGTATACAAGGTATGGAGAATCCAGGTCTTCTACCATCTGAAATATAAAGCTTTAGGAAAACCTGATTGTAATCCTTATGTCTTGCATTCTGTGACTTTCGTTGTTGGCTAGACAAAAATAGGGTGATATGGTATTATTGCCAATAAGACAATATAATGCAATTTATGAAAAACAAATATGACAGACATGAACCAAAAATAACCACTGAATTACAGGATATCATAACACAATATTATTTCTCTTTATATTTGTAATGGAAGGGACATAATAAATTGAACAAATCTAGCAATGGAAAAAACAAATTGTAACTTTGTTACCTCTCATCAGAAAAGAAAAATCTGGGCAACATCATGATTCTCTCTAAAAAAAAAAAAGGTCAATGCTAAGCATGGCATGATGTGACTGCAACATGTTAACAAAGAAACAAAAATGATTTTGCACGTAACATTGTAGTCGACACAGTAATTTGATTCTAATGTTGTAAAAGTTCCCTTTATTTAATCGTAGCTTTAAAATTGAAAGACTATTGCAATATCTCTGAAAACCCTAATCTAGAGGATCTTTAAGAAATAATAAACTGTTGACACAGAGATATGTCTCACCTGTATGTAATTGAAATGCAAAATATGCAAAATATTTAAATTGAGAAACATGACTGAAAGTATAGGATCCAATAGTTTCTGTGGAAATAAGATATGCCAATGCTAATACAACTGCATACCATATATCATTGACATATCATAAGTGGTTTGCCTTAAACTGACCTAATCACAAACCTTAACATGTAAATGTATAAAAGTTTCAAAGTCAATAGACCATGACTGAGGGGGAAGTCTCCATGAAACTGAGATATGCCATAGCTTATACAACTGCATAACAAATATCATTTACTTGTCATAAGTGGTTCCCCTTCAACTGAACTTTTCACAAACTTTAACATTTACACTATGCAAAAGTTTTAAAGTCAATAAACCATGACTGTGGGGACCAAATAATCTCCATGGACAATGTGTTAATGCTGATGCAACTGCATACCAAATATCATTGACTTATCATAAGTGGTTCACCTTAAATTGACCTAATCACAAACTTTTAACAATTGTTGACAGTGCTGCCATTGGAAACAGCATACCCAAGTCTCGCTTTTTGACTCCATCAAGGCGAGACAAAAATGCCCCAAAATAAGATAAGAAATGTAAAGTACTAGATGTCTTTTGGGTTTTTGTGTTGTTGTGTTGCTATTTAATTGACTTTTATCCAACAACTTCTTTTAGTCATACCTATCATGTAAAGTAAAAAAATCAATCATTTTACCTCTTATAACTCTGAAAGTGAACGAGCTACTTCAAATCTAATTGACAATTGAAGAGCTTTTATTTTCTATAATTTTTATGCTATTTTCACATGTGTCAATAGGTGTGAGAAAAAAATGTTTTCCTCTCTAGAGAAAACTTTGTTCTATGCAAATTTCAATTATGACATTAAATTTTCTTGATTTCTTCTGAATTTCCTATTGTGACATCATGAAAAAAGGCGAGCATGCCTGATTACGTCACATTTAAGGAACACAACTTTCTGCAAATCTTTGAAGAGGAAGGATAAACTTGTTTAGATATTGTCTTAAAATCATTAGAGAAACAGATTCCACCACTATATCTCATGTATTATGATATTTCTCCACTCTCAACAGATAAATCTAAAATTTATCTGTCTCGAGTGTGATAAATATCGTAACACACTTGATGCAGTGGTGGAATCATTATATCTTATGTTCAATACCATTTACAAGTGTCAGATTGAATTTAAGGTTTCAGCCAAACAGGGTAGGAGGTTTTGTTGATTCATGCTTAGTCGTTATTGTGTTTGTGCCACATCTTTTATATTGTCTAGGAAGTTTTAGCTGGTAAAAATTTGTCTTTGTGTGCATTTTGTTTTTGTTGTCTTTTATTATGAGAGTTCCTTAAGAATTATACTCCATATTCACTTTACTTTGTTTGCCATAAATAAGGTATCAGTTTTTTCATGTTTAATTCATGACATTAAAAAATCAGCAAAGTGTTCAAATATCAGATGAAATTGTTGCCTGGTAACAGTATGCATTAAACACATACAAGTTAATGCTATACTGACGAGAAAATGTTGTCCAATATTAGTTAGTCTGTCAACTCTCAAACAGTGTTTTCTGATAATTATGAGTTATTCTTTAAACACTGTAAAGTATTGTGAAGAAATCAGTCACTCTTCAGAGAGACAAAATGATATATAACTTCCTTGGAAAACTGTCACAAAGATGATGTCCAATATTAGTGACTCTGTAAAGTGTCGAGCAACTGTTGCCTGATATCTGGTAAAGTTTGATAGAATTCCATTCCAAAACCCATAGTAACATCAGGTTGTTTGTAGTACAGTAGATGATGACAAAGATCCTGAAAATAAAGAATACTGTCATAATTACTTTGCCCATTTTGTAAATAGATGTAACAGCAAATAGATTTGAGTATGTATGAAAGAACAGGATTCTGGATGAGCTTGCTTCCTATTTTAACCATTAAATCTTATAAACTCTGGTACTACTTTCCTTTGGAGGAGCCAACTGTCAGGCAGAGATTGTCTAGAAATCATTAGTCAAACAGATTACTCCACCAAATCTCTAAGATATTGTATTACACTTGATGCAGTGGTAGAATCTATATATATATATATATATATATATATAAGTACGTCTGAACCAGTGACAACTCTACAACAGATTTATCCATCTGATCACCAGCAGTGATGGTGATACATGGCTGTGTACATTCTGTATATACAACTCGTTCGAATCCCGGCGAGGGAAGAACAAAAAATTTGCAAAAGCAAATTTACAGATCTAACATAACATTGTTGGGCTGATGTTTAGATGAGTTGTATATATATAAATCTATTCAGAGTTGTTGGATAGGATAAAAAGAATGTGTAGAATTTGAAAGCTGTTTGGGTGTAGCCAATTATATGTACTTCAATAAATCTTCGCATTAACAATGTTTGATATAATGTTAAATTTCACATTTGTTATGCAAAAAATCTCCAATATTTAAATTATGTTTTGTATCCAACATGAAAATTTCTTTGAAATAACAAGAAGTGCTTGCAAGTAGTCACATATAACAAAATTACCTTGTATTCCCCTCTAAGTGCCTCTTTTAACATGGCATGCTTTAACTTAGTGTGTTTAGTATCTTGTGTATAAATAAATCTATTAACATGATGAACAGCAACCATGTATAACACAGGGGCCCATCTGGGTCGTACTGTTAATGACAACAAACACTCATAATAAAGTCGTATCATTTCTATGTTTGTCTCTTCTGGATATAAATATCTCTCTATTGGAATCAACATCTAGAAAATAAATTATTTTTATTTTGTTAGGCTTCATGTATTCCTTTTGCACGTATCATACTATAAGAAAATTTCTTTATCAGATGGAAAATACTAAAGTGCATGGAAGCAGTCAATTAAAGATTTTTTTTCTAAATTGATATTATGTAATAAATTTTTTTTATATGTTTAATAAGTAGATGGAAGTATATATTAACAGATGTTTTGCCTATAAATCTCATTTCCTTTATGATATTTTGAATTTATTGTTTAGCACAGGCATCTTTTTGAAGATCAGTTGTATGGTTCACTGAGTTACCCTCCTCATTACTATACTACAATGTAAGATCATTATCAGGTAATTGGGTCATCAATGACAGTCAACAAATGTTCTTCCCAACCTTCCACTCAGTTGAACAGAGTGCAAATTTAAAACAATTTGGCTATAACGATTGTTAAATGACTTTGGACTCGTACCTCTGTGACAGGCAAGTATAGAGTTCTAAGTATTCCCCTATGTTCTGTCCAGATAGACCTCCTTAATTCCAGTCCATGTTGTTGTTGTAATGGAATGAGGACATAACAACAAAACAAAGAATCTCCAAATGACACAGCCTCAAACTGGTGAAGGACTGTGATGTAACTGGAATAATTTGTAAAAATATGAATTACAAACAGTATACATAAAGCATTGAAAGTTAATCATTTGACTGAAGATTGCCAAGTATGAAACATAACTATAATAAACCTTTTGCCCCTAGTTTCTATTTTCCATAATTGATTGACAGAACGTCTATGCAGGTAGTCATGTGACTTGCAACCAAAAAGCTAAAATATGTACATTACAAGCAGAATAAACACTGCCCTAAGTTCATCATCTAATAGAGATTTAAGAGAACAAAAACGTACTTGCTGTAACTTGTTTTAATGGTTAACAGAATGAACTATTGTCTGTAATTAATTGACAGATAGTCTAGCTTTTTGAATCAATTTGTCTAAATACAGGTGTAATAACTTTACGATGACATTCCAAATTAATTCTGATAAAGTAGGGTGTAATACTCATTAAACCAAAAAATGACATATTTAAATGATGCATTTGAAAAAAACTAATATTTCTCAATTGTTCAACTTAATACATAATAACAAGAACTTACAAATCATAAAATGACAACAACCCAGGTATACTTTCTTCAAAATTCATCATATTTAGATTCATTGGTTTTGTATACTCTCTGAGGAAAGCTGCCAGGTAACAGTGGACAGTCTTGTCAAGGAACAAATCATTTCCTACAATATAATATCTGTTTTGATAACTGTTACTTTTTTAAATAAAAACACGATCAATTAGGTTTTAGGGAAGGAATGCCTAAACCTTATACATAATTTTATTTTCAAATGGTTAGAACAAGGAATTAATTGAATCTGGAATAATTTTGAATTCTGGAAAATTGATAAGAAATGTATGATGAAAACTAACCCAATTTAGGAGGGTTAGCCATGCATGCATTGCTAAGGGGATTAGTTAGTTCATACTGAAATATCAGTGAAAGTAAAATTAACCTTAGCCATGTGTGCCTATTATAGTTGTGTTAGTTTTCATCATACATTTCTTATCAATTTTCCAGAATTCAAATAATTCCTAGTTTTAGATGTATTTCGATTTACTGTGACTTGATGGTTAGTGTTTCTCTCCACCTCTTGCAGTTCATTCAAAATTCCGACCAATTAAAATTTGTTTCATCAATTCAAACTGTTCATCTGATAAGAATTTTTACCTGTAGAACCACAGTCAAGTTTAAGGTTGTAGAAGGAACACTTACAAACTTATCTTAAAAATGTGTTCAACCACTGAAAATTGTCACTATGTCTGATCTACAGTACTGCATGATGAGCACATGCCCACAGTAATATAAGGGGACTAATAGAATACTGTTAAAGTACTTTTATTCGTGGGGTACCAATTTTCGTGGTTTTCGTGGATGGCTTTATCCACGAATTTAACTGTCCAACGAAATATAATAACTGTTGTCCAATTCCAGACATGGAAAGATCCCCATGTAGGTTTGATTACATGGATACGGTCATATAAACCAACGTTCTATGAACTAAATATACACATTTTTTTTGTACAACTTCAGACCGGATTTTACCCATTTAATCTTTAAAAAATCTAAAATGTTCGACTGTTAACATTTTATTTCTCATGAGAAATAATTTTTGATCGATGAAAGTCAGATTTCCGGTGATGATATGCGATAATGAAATGTTCCTTTTTTCATAATTCTCATACGAAAAAAAAATACTGATTTCATTTTGGGCTTGCTTTTTTATGTCATAATAATTGATTCTACAATTCAAAATATTATGAATTTGTTAGTAATGAAGGACGAACAAGTGAGTGAAAATGAACACCTTATTAAACAATGCCCCACAAATCATTATAAAACAACATATGATTAATATCACGAATATTCGATTCTGAAGTCTTCAAATTCGTCATTCGATTTTTTTCTTCAGAAAACTAAAATCCACGAATTTAAGAACCCACGAACATGTAACTTTTGCTGAAACCACGAAAATTGATACCCACGATTAAAAATACTTTCACAGTATGCAAGTGTTCCACCTTTATCTTCACTGAAGCCAACCAAATATTGCAATTACATGTAGTATATATATGGCACAAGAAACCATTTCAAATTGGTTCCACGCTCATTCTCAATTCTTATTACCTGTTAAAAATGTGCACATCAATCTTGATATTTTCAGTGTTATAGATATTGCTGACATGACTTCAGACTGATCTCTCTCTAGCAGGAATATCCATTTCAGAACATTAGATATTGTTTCAGTTTCACCCACTGATAATGCATTCTGTACTTCTGTTCCACTGTAATATACAATGTTTCAATTTATGCTTAAACAAAATGACTGCCTTAACAAATCTTTTGTACATTCACTATTCTCAAAAGTAAATGTCAAGTTTTGTATTGTTGTATATTTCTAGTCTTATTTCTTACTCCTAAATGCCACAATATAAAATAAGGAGATGTGGTATGATTGCCAGTGAGACAACTATCCAACAGAGTCCAAATGGAGTTGTTTTAAGCAACTATAGGTCAAGATTAGCAGAGAAGAAGCAAATAACATTTTTTATGATTTTTGATAGAAAACTAAAAATGAATATGCACACAAAATAAAAAAGAAAACCTCCTTTGGGGCATATAATAGAAAAACAAAGGATATGGGGTATCCATCCATGACACAAAATCAGTACATGAACAGCATGTATATCAATTTTGGATATAAAAAACATTAAGTCCAATGTCCATACACCAGAGATACTACAAGTGCATGTATCAATTGAAGTCAACTTTGATTCCATTTTTACTTAAAAGATTTGCATGCTTTTATTTTATTTCAAATTTCAAACTGATAAAATATTTCATGCAAGTTATGGTGTAAAAACCCTGGTTTAACCCAATATTTACCTTGGAAAATGCCTATAGCAAGACAGGAATGTGACAGTCATATTCAGAACTTTTCATTAGATAAATTAAAGTGTTCTCCAAATCGCCAATCAATTTTTACTTTTTATTTTATTTATTTCAATATAGTATATTCTAAATAACCTATTCTATTTTTTTAAACAGATAGAAAAGCAAGTTGTTCAACTTATCATCATATATTTGAAAATGAATGATCACGAATTGCAAACTCTTGGCATTTAGAGCTACCTAAATTGTTGGGCAAATTTTGTTTTTTGGTTGCTGTCTCACCGACATTTACACACATAACTGATGTTTTCTCATGTACATAAATAATATTTGCATTTTTTGTCAAATAGTTCAACAGAAGTATATACAGTACATGGCCAAAAGTATTCATCACCAACATATTTTTGCTATAAATTTCATATGAAACTATGTTGTTTTTTTTTTCAAAAAATTATTGTGGAGTCATTTCTGGTTGGATATTTACAAACCAGGTGTTGAAAGAAGCAAAGCCGTCTAAATTACATTTGTTTATTTGATCATAGTTTTGTCCTCAGCTGTTTTTGTTTTCTTCTGATGTGAACACATATATATACTATTTTTGAACAATTTAATTTGGTTGAAATATATAGCAAATTTCTTAAGCATAAAATAGTACTTGTGTTCATATCATTAGAAAATGAAAATGCTTCACAAAAAAAAAACAACCAAATAAACAATCAAACCTATAACAATTCTACTTCTTTTGGTACTAAGTTGGTTAAAATCCAATAAGAAATGACTCCACAATATCTTTTTGAAAAAACATAGTTTTATGTGAAATATATAGTAAATAATTGCAAATGACAAATATCTTTGGCCACACACCGTATATTCTTTCCAACTTACACAGAGCTAAAATGATTATATAAATAAACGAGTGGCATGTACATCCAGTCAGCAGGCAACAAGAACTCTTCTGTGCTGGAGGTAAGTAATTTCTGTACTTCGAGTGGATTCATATGAAACAAATGTCTGCAAAATATGGTAATATTTCACTTACACAACTTATCTATTGGTCATTATGAAGAGCTTTATTTTTCATTTTGAAGCTTCAATGCAGTTTCAAGTAAGGATTTTTGTATTATTTTTCATCAATGCACTACAGATTGACCATGAAACTTTTACATCAACTCCCCTTGAAGGGAAGGTTACATGATGTAATACAATTATTTTACAGAAATAAAAATCAAATAATAAATAAGTGCTTAACAGAAATATGTAATCACAGCAGGAATTTGTAAATTACAATTATCAATTATATGAACCACAAGAAAAAGCTTCTTCAAAATAAATTTAATGTCTTGGTGTATGATACCCTGAAAAATGTACATACCTTGACACAAAAGCCTCTTTTTCAAAATAACTGAAAGCTTTAATGTATGTAGCTCTAATACTGGGTAGCTGTGATCTAGCTGCTGATGTCAGCTGGGTACAGGTAAAAGTAAACTCTTGCTGTGTAGCACTGCGAAGATGTGTGATGTCAGAGAGCCTCAAGCTCTCTAGTGACGCCAGGGTCTCCGTTTCTGATTGGTTACTGATTGATAAAAAATGACTGTTAAATAGGGTAAACTTTGATACATTGAAACATCATAAAACTCTTTTTACCATCAAAATCATACAGAAAAAATCAATTGCAATTCATTAACCATTCAGTAAAACTTACCATCAACTTATATGATCAAGTCATAGAACATTTTGTCACCCAGTCAAATTCCTTATTCATAAAATATCAAAATGTTGAAGAAAATATTCTGCATTGGAACAAATATGAAACATTTACATATTTCACAATAAAACAAAGTATGTCCACCAACCCCAAATGTGTCAATTTTAAGTCAACAGATACCAAAACATGTCCAATTTATCTACTGATGCTAAAACATGTCCAATTTATCTACTGATGCTAAAACATGTCCAATTTATTGACTGACTCTTAAACATGTCAAAATTTCCAGTGATCCTAAACATGTCCAAATTTTCAGGTGAAGCCCAACCACAAATTTCGTTCGCTGGAACTTGCTTATTTTTGTATAATCCTAAAGCATGTCCATAAAATGTGAAGAAACAACAAAATCTTCAAAGTATGATATGTTTTTTTTCCAGAATTCTTTCAATCTTTACTTATATTCACTATCCTTTATTTGTGTATGGTACTTAAAAATTTTAACAGCATTATGTCATATTTCTAAACATAACCAAATCACAATGGCTTAAATTTTTTCTAATAAACTGTTGACACAGAGATATGTCTCACCATTTTGTTATTTTGGTAGTATAATGCAAATATTGAATCCAAATGGCAATATTTAAACATGTAAACTATGCAAAACATTCAAAGTCAATGAATTATGACTAATGTGCAGGTGAGGACCAAATAATCTCCATGGAAATGAGAAATGCCAATGCTTATAAAACTGCAAACCAAATACCATTGACTTATCATAAGACGTGCCCTTTACACTAACAAAAACACAAACTTTAACTTGTAAACAATGTTAAAGTTTCAAAGTCAATGAACCATGATGAGGGGATGGGGCCATATAATCTCCCTGGAGAAGAGACTTGCAAATGCTTATACAACTGCATACCAAATATCATTAACCTAACATTATTGGTTCCAATTAAACTGTTCTAATCACAAACTTTTAACATGTGAACTATGTAAAATATTCAAAGTCAATAGACCATGACCGAGGGGGCAGAGCCAAATAATCTCCATGGAAAAGAGATGTGCCAATGCTTATTCATCTACATACCAAATGCCATTCACTTACCACTAGTGGTCCTCCTTAAACTGACCTTATCACCAACTAATACATGTAAACTATTCAAATGTTTCAAAGTCAATAGACCATAACTGAGGAGGCAGGGCCAAATAATCACCATGGAACTGACATGTGTCAATGCTAACATAACTGCTTATCAAATATCATTGACCTACCATTAGTGGTTCCCAATAAACTGACCTAATCACAAAGTAATACATTGTTGCTGCTGCCGCCACCGTCGTCAGAAACAGCATACCCAAGTCTCAATTTGACTCCGTCAAGGCACGACAAAAACTGCAATTCTGACACACTTTAATTTGTTTTAGTATTGACAAGATTTTATATAATATACATTTCAAACCAAAACCAAAATTCTATTGTAAGTCAACCTTTGTATTACTTTTCACGTTCAAACTAATTCATTTTGATTAAGGATGTCTTCCTTCATAAAAAGAAAAGATAAGAATTTTTCTTCTTTTTGCTTCCTAGAAAGTGTTTTGTCAAAATTATTGCCTGCATTCTTTTATTTGTTAATTTACATTTGTTTTTGTCTTATCAACAAAAGAATGTTTTTCCCACTTTTTAAGTATTTTCTAGTTAAGTTTACTTTTACTGATATTTACCTCCATAACGTTGGTCTGAATAGTACTGTTGAGAACAAATCATGTGCAATAAATTCATCACCGTGATGTAACCTTGTCAGTAATTTCAAGGTTAAACATTGCAGAATAGTGGCATCAAAAAGTATGTCTTTATCCTGCAAAGAGTATTTTAAATTTCATTTAAAACTATTTATTAATACTTAAATCTTCTTTACATCTTGATAGTTATCTTTTTCTTCATCTTATATAACAGTTCATCTGCTTTAGTTAGGATTGCTGGCCAATATGTTCTCAATTCATTTATTTACCTTGACATTAACTAACTACCAAGTGGCTTTTGCCTAGATTTAAACAAATCTTTGCTACAACAATTAGATACCTGAAAAATTACAACTGGTTGTGTTTTAAAACAAGAAAACTTAAAAAAAGACAATATGAAACCACCTCTTCTTAATGCTTCGGTTGTTATTTAGTCCTTCTTTAATTTACTATTTTTAAATCACTATTAAATCACTCAAATTTCCTTCAGTTCCAAATAAAAAAATCTACTTTTATATTAATAGAAATATACACACCCACATAACTGCAAGTTTAAGATAATAATACTGTAACAGATTTTCAAATCTGGTAAAGTAGTTGCTATGGAGATGACCTTGTTTACTACCAGCAACTTTTTTCATGTAGCTTGCAATGTCAGCATCTTTCAGCACGAATGGCAAAATCTATAAAATATCAGTTCAGAATTAAAAATCAGAGCAATAACTAACTAAAAGTACTCATTATTTACTTATTATTGATAATAATATATTACAGTCCAGTTGCAAATATGTTATGCATATTCAAAACATAAATAAGTTCAACAATATAAAAAAAAATTGTCCAAAAATGGGGGAGGATGGGAAAAATTGGGCAAGGACTTCTGTCTGTTATTAGAAAGCAGAGAGTTGTCATATTCATTGTTTTTGTATTTTGTTTTAGTTTTGGTTTACCTTACTTTGCCTGGATTTTATATTTTGCTTTGTATCTATTTATTCTTGTGAATATTGTGTTTTTCGGTACATTCAGTGTAAATATGAATTTGTGCATAACATTATTATTGATAGGCTTTGGTATAAACAATACCTGCAAAAGTTAAGGTTAAAAAGTTGGGCAATAAGTTGGATTTTAATATATTGTCAAACATATTGCTTCCATATGATGAAACAAAAAAATCATTGTTAAGCAAAATTTGGACATATTTCATTTTATAAATTGATTGGTCTAGTAAACATTTATAACCTTTTGAATCAAAGATAACAACAAAATCAAGCTATGGATATTGGTTGTACCATTTATATAGTTTTGTCATTACCAAAGATCACCAAAGGATTTACTGTCATAAAAATGTGTAAGGGATTCTGCAGAACCCTGTGTCTTGCCTGTGATTGTTGCTTTCAGTGTAAAAGTGTATGTTGACTTAAAAGGTGAGTTCATTTATCAGTCAAATATAGAATTTAAAAAAAAATTCAAAATTTTTCTTTAGATGCTATTATTTGGTCTTGAAGATTAGCTTCATAAATTTCCAAGAAGGTTTGACAAAGTTCTTGATGACTGAAAAACTTTAACCTCAGACTAAATCTGAATGTTAACTGTAAAATAAACTAAGTCCATTTATCAGTAAAATATGGAAAAATGAAAAGAAATATTTTGAAGATATTTGCTCTTGCTACTGTTTTTGGTCATAAACAAGCTTCTGTCCAAATTTTATAAAAATTCCATGTAGGCTTGACAAAGTTATTGATGTCTAAAAAAACTTGAACCACAGACTGAACCTAAATGTTGACGCCACCACTACCGCAGACAAAGGAATCTAGGATCGCTATGTCTCGCTTTACCGAAATGAATTTTGCAGGCTCGACAAAAATACAAACATACACTTCTCCTTTAAGGGCATACGATACAGTTTTGATACCACGGTGAGTTTTTGACGAAAGTTTGCATACATGCTATTTTTCACCTAGGCAATTCAAAAATGTAATAAAAAATATACCTTCATGTACTATTTTTAGAGATAAATGGGGTCGAATTTTAGAAATTTACTGGACATTTCTGTCCTTTTAAAGGTCATACCTAACTTTTTTGTTTCAAAAGATTACCCAAGCAGATTTTTGTAAAAACATCTGTAATATCCTCTCTTCATAAGTGTGATTTGAATTTGTGTAACAATTGTCTGGAAATAACTCATTTTTATCACATTTTCATTATTTTAGTCAAGAAAACAGCATTTTTGGCTGTATATTTATCTAATTTAAAAAAATTTCATCAGTGAAATGTTCATAAAAAATGGCACATCTAATCTTCATACATAATCAAGCCAACTGTCACATTTAAAAAGAGGGGTCTGTGAACTCGTTTTTAAGTTAAATCAGTCGAAAAATGCATCTTTTCTCAATATGTAACAGTTTGACATTGCGAAAAATAACATTTTACGTTAGCAACGTCATTACCTCCCCTGTAACTGTATCGTATGCCCTTAAAACGAACTTGCAGCAATCAAATTCTTGTTAGAAGGTGTCTTTTGTCATATTGTTTATATTATATTATCAACTAACTTTATCCTGAAGTCCTTTATGAATATGACACAATGTATGAATCTGATTTAATAAGGCTGTTACGAATCCACATGGACTTCCTTTATGGATTACAGGTAGCATTTTATCCTCCTTTAGTGAGGAGCACCCTAGGGATGGTAAACTATGTACACATTCTTTTCTTTTTTCAGCTGGAGGATTTAATATGTTTGAAAACTGACTGTAAGTAAAAAAAATAAAGCTAAGAATGTTATTAAAAATAATTTAAAGCTTTGAATGGTTGTATAAGAAATTTAAACCAATATTTTGTTTGCAAACAAGAATAAAATATGCATTAAAAAACAAATTTATAATTACAAAATTTTTTTGAAGGCATGCTTCTTAATGATTTTCAAAATTGTAAGTTGTAAGCATATGTCTTATTGTTAAAACCATCCACTAACTTTACTAATACTTTAAAGCAGTGCTTCAAATCCTTCTCTTTTAGGTTCTTATCCTGTTGTTCTATTGTTATTGTTGTTGGATTAATTCTTATGTATATCTATTCTCTATCCATTGTTCATAAATTGATTTACATTCGATTGCCAGTGGGTTACAAAATTTCTGAACTGAACATAGTTTAATTTTCGATTTTCAACATGTAAACTTTAGAAAGCATATTAATATCTAAAACTTTAATATCTAGAATGGAATACTATAATTTATGAGCAAACAGAAGAAAACTTTATTTCTCACATACTTATTTCAGTCTTTCAAATACAAAAATATGTGTTTTGAAAAGACACCAATCGTACTGTTACCAAAGAAACTACACAAAATGTGCCATCATATGAATAAGCTATCAATCACAACACCTAAAATAATCAGTTAATTTCATAACACAATTTTAACATATACACATGTAGTTTAAATTAAATTTAGCCACCAGCCTTGACATTTAATAAAAGCGCCGTCCAATGGGCGAAAAAAATAAAATTATTCCCTATATTTTTTTCAACTGTTTTTTTTAAAGAACACTGCTATTTCTATAAATAAAATACAAACTCAATCTTCTATCTTACCCTAGTCTTTCAAGTATGACACGAAAACCAATGGACTGCCAACATGGTAATAATACCTCATCACAGTAGGCTTCAATCTGTTGTAAATAGTCCACTGTGTTTGGTCCAGACTGCAAATACAAAAATATAGACACTACACAAAAATTATCTACATAAATATTTATTTGTATGAGATTTGAAAATAGATAAAAGGTAAGGGTCATTAGAAAACAAATAATATTGGACAGTAAGGATATAAAGTGGACATACAATACTCCCATTATACACGAGAGGATCATTACAGCCTGTTTTGCTTACCTGTCAAAGTTTTACTGTTTATAGTTTCTACCTATCTATGATAATAGTCAAAACTGGAAATAAGTGAAAATTATCATACTTTAAGGCTTCAAAAGGAGTCATTTAATGAATTCCATCATTTTTGCATTTTTGAAGATCTTGTATCGCTGATCATTTAAGCTGGTTACAGCTCTTACTATCTATTATATTTTTTAAGATAATTGGTAAAGGGCATTTTACTGCTATAAGGTGCCTACGGATGATTTCAGACATTCGACTCATATGTAGATTTTATTCTGCAATAACTTTTGTCATTTAAAATTTCTAAATGAATCTTTTAGTTTTCAGCAAAAAATGCAAATTAAATGGGTAAAAGTTTTCTTTCAAGGACAATAACTCCCATAAAGGGTCAACCAACAATATTGACTTATTTGTAAATATTATTTTTCTGTACAAAATTTGCTGGCATGATTTGTATACAATAAGTCTTCTGACGACGGAAATGATTTAGATGGACAGATGAAATGATTTGTTTACAATAAGTCTTCCGACGACGGAAATGATTTAGATGTACAGATGAAATGATACGTTTACACTAAGTCTTCCGACGACGGAAATGATTTAGATGGACTGATGAAACAATTTGTTTACAATAAGTCTTCCGACGACGGAAATGATTTAGATGGACAGATGAAATGATTTGTTTACAATAAGTCTTCCGACGACGGAAATGATTTAGATGGACAGATGAAATGATTTGTTTACTGTAGGTCTACCAATAAAGGTAAAGATTTGTGACGGACTAATGACATATTGTTTAGGCTCCTGTCTATTGTTAACGACTGTATGTTGCCCTCTAGGTGTCTTTTGGTTATTTCTATCATTGGGGTGATGTTTCATTGACATTAACACCACACCTCCTTTTATTTATATTTTAAAACATGCAATATAACCAAAGGTATAAATCATACGTAACATTCATACTGAAGTTTTACCTGATTTGACAATCTTGAATAATAAGATGTGATAAAATTTAGGCAAACAGATGCACACTGAAGATCCAGTTTCTGAAAAAGAAAAAAATACTTTTTAGGAGTTTTTCTAAAGCAACAAGACAATTCAAACTATTAGTATTAGTATTACAAAAGCAATTATTGATAAATGACATTTAGTTCTCAATATTCATTCATGAATATTTTTCAAACAAGAATCCGAGCATTGCTCACACTTTCACATTTTAATGTTCAGTGAATTGCGTAATCTGATTCAAATCCCTAATTTGGCATATATGCTTGAAAATTCACATCAAAACGAACATGTGTACTAACCAAAACTTTAACATGATACTGGACAGGCAAACAGATGGATGCACATACGGATTTTGATCATAATTGTAGGAAATACGGTTGCCTATAAGTATTTACATCTACATCCTCTGGTATTAAGAGGATACTTGTCTCACTGGCAATCAAACAATATCTCCATATTTTAGTAATATATGTAGAAACTTTAGGAAAATCTATTCATAAGTTCAAACTATAAAAAACCTATACAGCAGATTCCATTGAGTGTGTAGCCAAAGGTAATATCTTTGGTTAGCTTGCTTGTTAGCTGAACCATGAAGTCATTATTAGGTCAGGTAAACTACCCTCCTTTCGAAGTAGCAAAGTCCAACAGACAGATCGATTGGTTTTCTGTCGGACTAGTCTATTCTTAAAGTAGGGTAGTTTACCTAACCTAACAATGACTTCACGGTTCAGCTAACAAGCAAGCTTACCAAAGATATTACCTTTGGCTACACACTCAATGGAATCTGCTGTAACATAATCCTACATTTTCACAAGTAAACAAGTTACTTATACTTACCTTAAATTGATAATTATCTTTGATGTAGTTTAAAATTTTAGTAAGTGACCTTGACATAGGATGTAGGAGATCAGCAATATGACCCCAGTTGATAGTTGGCATAGCAACAATCTCAGAACTTTCAACTTCCATTGATTGGCCTTCCTGACTGCAAAAGAGAAACAGATTTATTTAAGATTTTATGTATGAGAATGTCTAAGGAACTTTTTAATTTACCTTATCATGCATAAAATTTTTAATGAATATGATCACTGTTATTCACCTAAAAAAATCCCAGCAAAAATAATTAGAAGTACTGTAAGATCTGCTTCACAAACACTTCCAGAAAAACCTTAAGATGTTATCTTCTGTGAAACTGTACAAAATAAATGGGGAATGGGGAATGTATCCATGGGACACAGATGATGCCCCCGCTTGCATAAAACATTATAAAGGAACATAACTCAAGAACGGTAAAAGCGACGTTACCCAAATTTGTACTTGATCTGAGTTTTGTAGTAATAAGCATTGTGAATAAGTTTCATAACATTTGGTTCAGGTAAACTAAAGTAAGAGAACAGAAACGAAAAATTCAGCAATTTTTCCATTTGTAAAGGGGCATAACTCTAGAACGGTAAAAGTGACGCCACCAAATTTCAACTTGATCTGTGTTTTGTGGTAATAAGCATTGTGCATAAGTTTCATAACATTTGGTTGAGGCAAACTAAAGTAAGAGATCAGAAATGAAAAATTCAGCAATTTTTCCATTTTGAAGGGGCATAACTCTAGAATGGTAAAAGTGAAGCCACCAAAATTCAAGCTTGATCTGTGTTTTGTGGTAATAAGCATTGTGTATAAGTTTCATAATATTTGGTTGAGGCAAACTAAAGTGAGAGAACGGAAACGAAAAATTTAGCAATTTTTCCATTTGTAAAGGGACATAACTCTAGAACGGTAAAAGTGAAGCCACCAAATTTCAAACTTGATCTGTGTTTTGTGGTAATAAGCATTGTGTATAAGTTTCATAACATTTGGTTGAGGCAAACTAAAGTTAGAGAACGAAAACCAATTTTGGGACGTACAGACGGACAAGGGTAAAACTTAATACCCCCTCCGCTACGGTGGGGCATAATAAAAAAATTAAAAGCAATAAAAATAATCAACATTATTTTGATAGGTATGAAAAGATAAACAAAGGCATGGGTATAAGTATAAGTTGAATACCTATTATTGCTGCTCTTTTTTTGACATGTTTAATTTCACTTTTATTAGTTTTTACACATTTTCATAACACTTTATAACACCCTTGTACAATGTGTAATACATAATACACCATACACTAGTTTCAACAATGTTGAGAGGTACCTTCTGTTAAACTTTGCTTGTTGGTTTTTATTAGAACCAGCAACATGAACCACAGCCTCCAGGGCTCCAATAAGCTCTATGTAGTTATTGATCTGATTATCCGTCAAAGACTCATTACTAATATTCTCTTCTATAATCTTTAACTTTTCTATTATAACTGGAAACATATCTCTATAAAGAAAGAAAAAAATATTGTCAATAGGATATTTGATTGATTATTGCTTGTTTAATGTATAGTGACAAATATTATATGTATATTCCATTGGCGGATCCAGGGGTGGGCAAGTTCTGGGGGTTGGAACCCCCCTTTTCAATATGGTTGGGTCCTTGCCTGTATTCAAGGTGAGAACAAATTACCAATTAATACCATAGGTAAGCTCTGCAATGTAGTTTGACTTAGATGATGGGTGGGAAATTTTGACCGCTGTTTGAAAATGAGAGTATGTTGTATAAGGAGAAGACATTTTGCATTGTTACAGGCCATCTACCAACCCCTCATAGAATTGTAACAAGGTTTCTTTTACAATCTCCCTACTCAATAGAAAAGATAACATATCACTTCTTTCAATAAGACAGAAAACATAATGCCTTCAATTAACAGGACAGAGAGATATGTCTGCAGTCAATATGACAGGAAATATATGTGTGTCATCAATAGAACAAAACACATATGTGTGCCATCATACCTACAAAATATAAAAAATAAGAAAAGCACAATCTCATTTTCCTAAATATATGAAATTCATTCTAAATTGATACTGAAACTTAATTTTATAAAAGTTACATGTTACATTATTAAGCTTTTTTGTTCTTTAATTTGATGCATACAATTAACTATCATAAAGTATGGTTAAACCTTACATATTACCTACATATAAGTTTCTGTTGAGAGACCATACAAAAGACAGACTTTCCATGTCCTGTAACTCTCAGTCTGTAGGTTGTAAGCTTCCAATTTGGGTAGTTGCAGAGACCTAGAATTACAGAAATTGTTTTTTTAAAACCGGCAATATGCATAAAAAAAAATTCGTAAGGGTTCCGCGGAACCCAGTGTCTCGCCTACTTTTGCTGTTAATCGCAGGCTCAACAAAAATGAGGAAAAAAATTAATAAAAATATTCCTCTCTATACTATCTTTTGATTGTAAGTAGCTTCTGTCCAAGTTTGGTAAAAATCCAGGATAATTTATGAATCTAATAAATGTTTTAAAAACTTAAACTGCAGACTGTATGTAATGTTGACTGGAAGAAAAACTAAGTCCATTTATAAGTAAAATACGGAAAAAATGGAACAAAATTTTATCAAAATTTCCTTCTAGATACTAGCTTTTGTTCATAAACAAGCTTCTGTCCAAGTGTGGTACAAATCCAGGATAGTTTAAGAAAGTTGTTAAAATTTTAAAAAATTTAACTACAGAGTGAATGTAATGTTAACTGGCAGAAAAACTAAGTCCATTTATAAGTAAAATCCGGAAAAAATGGATTTTTTTTTTACAAAAAATTTACTTCTGGATACTATCTTATGATCATAAACAAGCTTCTTTCCAAGTGTGGTACAAATCCAGGATAGTTTAAGAAAGTTATTAAAATTTCAAAAACTTTAACCACAGAGTGAATGTAATGTTAACTGGCAGAAAAACTAAGTCCATTTATAAGTAAAATACGGAAAAAATGGATTTTTTTTTTACAAAATTTACTTCTGGATATTATCTTATGATCATAAACAAGCTTCTTTCCAAGTGTGGTACAAATCCAGGATAGTTTAAGAAAGTTATTAAAATTTCAAAAACTTTAACCACAGAGTGAATGTAATGTTAACTGGCAGAAAAACTAAGTCCATTTATAAGTAAAATACAGAAAAAATGGATTTTTTTTTTTACAAAATTTACTTTTGAATATAATCTTATGATCATAAACAAGCTTCTGTCCAAGTTTGGTAGAAATCCAGGATATTTTAAGAAAGTTATTAAAATTTCAAAAACTTTAACCACAGAGTGAATATTTGTGGACGCCGCCGACGCCGACGGAATGTAGGATCGCTATGTCTCGCTTTTTCGACAAAAGTCGAAGGCTCGACAAAAATGAACCTAAAAGCTTTGACAGTGCTTTACAAGGAAATCTCATAAATCCATTGGTAGTAGTTGTGTTGTCTCTAGGAAGATTTTGGGACTCAAAGGGAAATAAATAGTACAGAATGATGTCTTAAGTTTATTCTCTTAACAGTGCTTGATTCTTTTTTTTCTCACCCAAATGAATTTTGCATAAGTACTGAACATGCTTTGATAATTATCAAGAAAAGATCTATCTAAAAATCTATTACACATTGATGAATCTAATTATGGGAAACAAATTTTTGATTTGCATTGTGAAAAAAGTTTCTCAATAAATCAGAACAATTAAAAGTATATTTTTAACAAAGAATATTTATACTTACATTGGATTTACTTCAACCATATATCTCAAAAGTCTGGCTTGAAGCTGGTTATCAGTCAACTGTAAAACATGATATTATTAAATCACTCAATTAAAATAGATTTAAAGCAATCAAATCTTCTTTTTGTGATCTTGTTCAAAGTAAGGTAGTCATTTTTTTCATGATGGTCCTGCTTCGTCATATAATTATTTGCTCTATTGTTAAACACTTACTTCCTAATCAAAATCATGCATGAAAGATCATAGATATGTTGCTGTTTTTACTTGGACTTTTCTGGAAACTTTATAAAATTTAATAGTTAATGAAGCATCTGGCTTTCTGTTGAAAGAAAACGTAAGGCAAAGAATGTGTTTCTGATTTTGATATGTTCAGAACCTTTCAAACTTGAACAATTTGAAACCTTATTTGCCAGATATATTTTTATAGATCACTTAAGACTTTTAGGAAATTCTCATTCTATCCCATGGTTATACAATTTGTGGAAAACCTTATTAATTAAATTTTTTTTTAAATTATGCAGTAATATGCATGGTGCTTTAAGTATATAAAAATTCTAAAGTTAACAAAAATGAAAAACAAACCAATATGGAAGCCATGTTTTTTCCTGCTTGTGCTAAACATCTCATAAGTCTCATTGCCATAGTAACTGGAATTCCATAAACATTCGATATTGGCTGCCCTGTATCTAAAAAGCAACAAAAACTTTGTTTCCGTTTCTACAACACCATCATGAAGGATACAAAACAGTGGAAGGGGCATATAAAATTATATCTCTCTGGTGCTGCAAATAAATAATTTTCATCATACAAAGCATGATTGGCTTTTCTATGCAAGGCAAAATTAAAAAGACAATTAATATGATAAGTACATAAAAAGAATGTCAAAATATGAACATATAAGGCATATAAAAAGTCAAAAATATTTAAACAGTAACTTAAACAGCTTTATATTTCTTATTGCCAATATGAAATTGTATTTACTGAGGCCTATGCAATACAAAAAAGGGAAGTTAACTGTTGAGAAAAGTAAGAAGATATTATTCAAAAACCTATTGAGCATACCATCAAAACTCCAACTTGTAGGTAGAAATTCCTGTAATATTACATCTAATAGACCAGGACACTGAAAAATCTGAAATAAAATGGTGATCACTGATTATAGGAAATTGTTCTTCAACAGTCTGTGACCCACTACTATGTATCATCAGAGAAAACTTTTTTTATAATTGAAATGTCAATTCTAGCTAAAATTAGTATAGAGTAAGAAATGATTGAGATGACATTTTTTAAACTAATTCTGCAAAAGCTTTTGCAACTTTCACATGTGTACCTAACAAACTGATAATATGTGAGTAGATGAAGTAGGATGAAGTCAATATGTAAATCTGGCACTACTAAATTATCCTCTGAATTTAGTATTTATATGTATACTTAAAAGTGAATCTACTCTTTTACAGTGAAAATCAAGCAGTTTTGGTTTTATTTGAGATGTTTTCATCTCTTCTTGCTATGTTATAGAAAATAAGACACTAAAAGTTAAGGGACCATTACAATCTGTTAGAGGGTAGATTCATGTGTGTATCAATTTTTCTTGAACCTGGTCATTTCTATTTATATTTACAGCTTAAAAACAGTTTATGCTTAAAAATTTTCCGACATTGGATCCACAATACTCTTGTTCCATCATTTTATACTTTATTGTTACATGTAATAACTGATGTAACTTACATCATAAGCTATCTTTGGTGAGTGATGAGCTAATCTACACAGTATACTTAATATGTTGATTACAACAGGTGCTTGTGGCTTTGTCTTTGTCAAAATATATCTCAGTCGGGGCAAGAAGTTCATCCTGGTTACCAGACACTGAAATAACAAGTGAAACTGTGAGCTACTGCTCACTGATGATACCCCCGCCCAAATACTTGACAGTAAACAGGAAGTTGTTGAGTGATGATTCTGAAAACGCATCACACGGTATAGCTGACTTATATAAACCCTGAAACCAAATTTCAGAAATCCTTATGATGTAGTTCCTGAGAAAAATGCGACGAAAAATATTCATGGGACAGACAGATGGACAGATGGACAGACAGAGGTAAAACAGTATACCCATCCTTTTGTAAAGCGAGGGTATAATTAAACATCTATTCAAAATATATATGGAATAGTTTGTACACTAAAAGGTCAAAGTGTATCAGTTTTACCAAAACAATACTTAATTGATATTGAATAATTCTTTTATCATATTTCTCAAAGATATTTGTTTTTTACTTTATTTTACTGTAAAAAGGTCAATTTTCTAAAGTTATTAATTCTGTACCATGTAGGCAATATAAATAAAATAATTTCTCTGTAATGATCTGTCTATTGTAAATTCAGATTTTAAAGGTAATGCAATGTGTCTGCTAATGCAAAAAAATTTGAAAGGACTAACATCACAGAAATCAAAATTAGCATTTTTAATTTTTACGCATACTATTCAGTGTAATATGAACAAGTATCTCATTAATTTTTTCAAACATGCAATAATAAGTGTGCACACATAATTCAAAATTTTCTGTCATTAAAACATGTTAAATCTCATTCTTTTAGTAAACGCTAAAGATAATACCCACACTGCCCACCCTCCCACTGCAGACTTTTCTTAATTACCAAAATGATATCTCTTTTGAGCAGATCTGCATCTGGGTCTTCTGGTGTTTCTTCTTCATTCTTGACTTTTTCAGTTGTATCATCTTCAGAAGACTTTGGTTGATGTGTTGGAATACAATAACCTTGATTCCATGAGAATACCCTGTCCAGAAAGGCCTGAGAAAAAGAAGAATTGTTAATTTGTGTAGTCATTCAGATGTTTCTGTAAATACAAGATACCATGTTGTATTTTTTATCTTTGTGATTTAGTTTTGATTTTTAAGAAGAAATAACTAACAAAGCATATATATTCCAAAACAAACTCTTTAGGTATAATAACTTTTTTTTTTAAATCCAAAATTGATTTCATCTCCATGACTGCTGCATCACTTTAATACTATGACTATTTTGAAAGATTATCAAAAAGTCATTAAAGCATGACAAAGTTGATATTGTAACTGTACAAGTATCAACAAACAGTTATTTTCACGATTTGTACAGTACTGGTTACTTAAATTTCTACCTCAATGTCAATGATATTCTTCATAAACTGACCTCGTCAGAGTCACACACCAACAGGTTACATAAGGCAGACACTGCAGCTGATACCACCATTTCAACAGTGTCATCCAGAGCCCATCTTAACAAAAACATCACACCTGCATCAATAAGAGCTGGAAGAACAGGAGACTGCACTAGAGCTTCAAGCTCCCCTGATCTTACTCTGCAGATAACATTTGATAAAGTTTGAAGAGCTAATGTTCTTTGCTGGTTGTTGGTGCTCCTAGCTAAGTGGAATAATTCTTCTAATGTGTAACCAGGCCTCTGAAAATATATGGATTTTGTAAAATATGATTTAATTCAAGGTGTTTGAGAATTCATCATCAAGTTGTGTCAGACTATTTATATGATACAAAATGCAATATTTATTCTATGAAAATATTTGAAAAATGATACTTATCAAAAACATTAATTGGCAATAATATGTGTGCATTTCAATGATTTCCATAAATCTTATTTGCATAGACATTTGGCAATAAAATTTATAAAACTCAAATATTTTGAAATCAAATTTTACACGATTGTATCACTAGTTTTTTTACTAAGTATTTACCATCTGTAATTCCATCTTTATAATTAGAACATGAGTTTACAAGGGAAATATTTGTATGATTTTTTTTTCAAAAGAATGCTGTATACAACAACCTTGTGAATAACTTTAACAGATCTTTTACTATAGAACAGTTAAACAATAGTGCTTTCATTTTTATTCAATTAATTTTGTATGTAGATGATGTAGTGGTACAAATGGCAGTATTGTACATCATTTTATTTCTCTCCTTTTCCATGAAATTCTATATTGCATAACAATATCTGAATATGAAAATAATATTTTAAAATAACTAAAAATTTGATGCAATTAATTTTCAGTTTACCAAAGCATCTTTTATGATATGTAAAAAGTTTTATATTTATTAACCTCAGGTTCGTCACCATGATGATGAAGTCCTATGTTTACTGGAACATCAGCATCAGCAGACATTAGGTTGCCATGGAAATCAAATCTTGCATGTTGCCCAGTCTATAAATAAAACACATTGTATTTTCTATTATACTTTAATGGATATTTTTTAATCACAAAATCTTTTATAAGTATCTTTAATAGTACACACTTAAAATTACTTTTCTATTCAAATATTATTTAGTGCAGGGGTAAGCTTTATTAATATTTTTCAATGCATATATAAACTACTTCATCAACCCAATTGAACAATTTCTGACGTTTGACAGTACTGCTTTACTACAAGTACATAGGACAGATCTCCTTTTATCTATTCCAGTACAAAATGTATATCACATTTAAAAGTTTACTTTCTAATACAACTAGGAGAAAGTCAAACCGTTTCAGATGATCATATTGTACCTCTTTGTTTTCAGCATTCAGAAAAGGAAAACTGTTTATCCATTTCAGATCACCATATTGTACTTCTTTGTTTTCAGTATTCAGAAAAAAAACTGTTTATCCATTTCAGATCATCATATTGTACTTCTTTGTTTTCAGTATTCAGAAAAGGAAAACTGTTTATTCATTTCAGATTATCATATTGTACCTCTTTGTTTTCAGTATTCAGAAAAGGAAAACTGTATATGCATCTCAGATCATCATATTGTACTTCTTTGCTTCAGTATTTATAAAAATATTTTTTCCATTTCAATAAATCCTATTTTACTCTTGGTTTTTAGTACTAGAAAAAGGTAGATCTTTCATTGTACAGGTATTTTTTCCTGTCACTATCTATACATTGGAGATGCCTTTCAACCTTTTTAAATTTTACCTCTTTATCACTTGTATTTTTGTTACTCTTTCAATAATTCCAATTCATCATACTTTACCTCTTTACTGTCTGTACTTGGAGGTGGTAAGTCTTTCAACCATTCTAGTTTATCATATTCTAACTTCTCCATGTGGGGCCATTCTTTCTTTGGTTTGACAGGTAAATCCCTTTGTTCTGTGTAAGAAGACATGACATGGTTAAGGATTTAAATCATTTGTAATCTCTGTGTTTCACTATTAACATTCAGGTAGATACCACAGGTGAACACAAACTGTCATTTATCCATTTAGACAAATGAAGTTTCATAAGCTGTCACTGAATATCTTTTAACTGAATTCCTACTACGGTTTGATACAATATAGTAGTACTATGGTAAATTTGTGACATCACAAAACATTCTGTTGATGCAGTTGATTAGTTAACCCTTATTCAATTAAATACTTGTTTACAACGTAGCAAACTATAGTTGACATTTAAAACTAAACAGTTCAAAGAGGGAAAAATAATTCAAAATTTTTAACTGTGTATCATTCTAAATTTTTGTATACTATGTAATGATTTTAATACCTAGTTTTGCTTGCGACTTATTACTCCTATTTTTACTTCCACTGGAGGAATTGGTTTCTGTCAGACATGTGTTCTTGCTTTGCTCAGTACCAGCAGTTTTCTTCTTTCTAAGGAATGCCACCAGCTTTGGATCTAATGGAGCAAAGATTAAGGATATATGAGTTGGTTGGTATTTTTTCACATTGCTACAAGTAAGAATAATCTTATGGCAAAACAGTTTGGTTCTGCATGAGATGCTTCAACACAAAGCCAGAATATTTCAACCAAGAAGTTATTTTAAAACGATTATTCTACACTTAAGCAAACATGTACAACACCAAGAGGTAGTGTAAGTGTAAATGTATAATGATGTGATTGGGATTTTTTTCTGGTTGGGAAAAAGGGAGACTTATTAAAATATAATAAAGTTTGATATTGAAAAAGAGGCTTTTTTAAATAAGCCAATTTCATAAGATCAGGTCCTGGTTGATAAAATCACTGTAAGGATTGTTCAAGATTCAAGTGTCATTAAAATTTTGAAGGAAAAGAGAACATTTCATCAAAATTTGTATAGAAACATTTCTATTTCTTAGTTTATCTTACAGCCATATTTCCTTGTTTCTAAAAACAAGTATTCTCATGGGGACACCTAGTGCATCAGCATGAGTCAAAGGAGGAGAAAAGGGGTATTTCTTGAATATAACTCGGAAATAATATACATGACTGTGATATATTAGTACACATTAGAAAGTCTAATTAAACTGTAATGTCCGGATTGGATTAACCATTATATTTATTTAGGTATATGAATAATATGAAAGGAGAGGGCATGGTAAAGCCATTATTTGGCCCTTTGCAAAAATAACAAAATTCTTCAAAACTTTTGAATTCATGCTAATTTATTTATCATTGAGTAGGATGATATAGTCTAGTCACTTCAATGGAGAAATGTCATTTTTAATGTCATAATCATGGAAGAAGTTTGAAGACCAAAGGCGAAACTAAACTAAAGAAAAAAATCAATTTATCATAACTAATATCTGAAGGGACTACTGTCTTGTGAAATCTGAATATTATTTGATTGATTAATAATACTTTGATTTTTGAATTCGAAGGGCAAAAAAATGACAGTATCATACCCTCTCCTTTCTAGTATGTCAATAAGACAGCATCCCAATCACACCATAAAACCAAACAAGACATTTATGAATGAGTTCAACACAAGTCTTTGCTATTAGCAGAAAAGTGTCAAACATTAATTATTATTTCATCCCTTACGTAAACAAATTTAAATTTCATTATATTTTCGAAATAGGAATCAATCATTTGACTGAATTTTATATAAAGGAGTAGGTTTGGTAACCATATCATATGGTATTTTGAACCCCCTGAACCCTGGGTCGAAATACCATATGGAAAATTGACCCCGGGGTCATTTTTCCCATATGGTATTTTGAACACCACCATGGAAATTTGAACCCCCTGTTTTAGATAAATAGTATTGCAGATTATCTAATGTACAATATGTTGGCTATGATTTATTTTTTTAAATTGGAGGTCTATAGTAGGGGGTTCAACATACCATGGCAGTGGGGTCAAAATACCATGGCTAAATAAAATTTTCAAAACATCTTTTCCAGCATGTTAAATACATACAAACTACTTAGTGGAGAAGATGCTTTGAAAATTTTATTTAGCCATGGTATTTTGACCCCCTTGCCATGGTATATTGAACCCCCTACTATAGACCTCTAATTTCAAAAATTCAAGCTATTCTAACTCCTTTACATAGTTATAATAGTCCAATGAGTAGTATGTATGTATTTAACATGTTAGAAAATATGTTTTGAAAATTTTACTTAGCCATGGTATTTTGACCCCCCTACCAAGCAAGGTATATTGAACCCCCTACTATAGACCTCTAATTTCAAAAATTCTAACTATTCTAACTCCTTTACATAGTAATAATACTCCACTTAGTAGTTTGTATGTATTTAACATGCTGGAAAAGATGTTTTGAAAATTTTACTTAGCCATGGTATTTTGACCCCCCTGCTATGGTATATTGAACCCCCTACTATAGACCTCCAATTTCAAAAATTATACTTTTCTTACTCCTTTACACAGTAATAATACTCCATTAAGTAGTTTGTATGTATTTAACATGCTGGAAAAGATGTTTTGAAAATTTTACTTAGCCATGGTATTTTGACCCCCCTGCAATGGTATATTGAACCCCCTACTATAGACCTCTAATTTCAAAAATTATACTTTTCTTACTCCTTTACACAGTAATAATACTCCATTAAGTAGTTTGTATGTATCTAACATGCTGGAAAAGATGTTTTGAAAATTTTACTTAGCCATGGTATTTTGACCCCCTTGCCATGGTATATTGAACCCCCTACTATAGACCACTTATTTCGAAAATTCTAGCTATTCTAACTTCTTTACATAGTGATAGTAGTGCAATAAGTAGTATGTATGTATTTAACATGCTGGAAAAGATGTTTTGAAAATTTACTTAGCCATTGTATTTTGACCCCATGGTATATTGAACCCCCTACTATAGACCTCTAATTTAAAAAATTCTAGCTATTCTAACTCCTTTACATAGTTATAATAGTCCAATAAGTAGTATGTATGCTTTTAACATGCTGGAAAAGATGTTTTGAAAATTTTATTTAGCCATGGTATTTTGACCCCACTGCCATGGTATGTTGAACCCCCTACTATAGACCTCCAATTTAAAAAAATAAATCATAGCCAACATATTGTACATTGGATAATGTCTGATTTTCAATCTATAATAAGCTTTAAAATAATGTATAATGTTCTAATAATTATCTAAAATGAAAACAAACTGTTAACACAGAGATATGTCTCGCCTATTTGTTATTTTGATAATGCATATGTTGAAATTAAAATAGCAATACTTTAACATGTAAGTTATGCAAATATTTAAAGTCAATGAACCATGACTGAAGGTACAGGGCTAAACAATATCCATGGAAATCAGATGTGCCAATGCTAATACAACTGCATACCAAATACCATTGACTTTTCATGTGTCGTTCTCTTTAAACAAACCTAAACACAAACATTAACTTGTAAACTATGCAAAAGTTTTAAAGTCAATAAACCATAATGAGGAGGTAGGGTTATATAATCTCAGTGGAAACAAAACTTGCAAATACCAATACTTTTGCATACCAAATATCAATGACTTAAGATTAATGGTTCATCTTAAACTGACCTAATCACAAACTAATACATGTAAACTAAGCAAAAGTTTCAAAGTCAATAGACCGTGACTGAGGGGTAAGGACCAAATATACTCCATGGAAATGAAATCTGCTAATGATCATACAACTGCATACCAATTATCATTGACCTACCACTAACAGTTCCCCTTAAACTGATCTAATCACAAACTAATACATGAAAACTAAGCAAAAATTTAAAAGTCAATAGACCATGACAGAGGGGGCGTGGCCAAATAATCTCCATGGAATTGAGATAATCCAATGCTTATACAACTGTATACAAAATATCATTGACCTACCACTAGTGGTTCACCAGAAACTGACCTAATCACAAACTAATACATGAAAACTAAGCAAAAATGTCAAAGTCAATAGACCATGACAGAGGGGGTGTGGCCAAATAATCTCCATGGAAATGAGATATGCCAATGCTTATACAACTGCATACCAAATATCATTGACCTACCACTAGTGGTTCCGGAGAAACTGACCTAATCACAAACTAATACATGTAAACTAAGCAAAGTTTCAAAGTCAATAAACCATGACTGAGGGGGCGGGGCCAAATAATCTCCATGGTAATGAGATGTTCCAATGCTTATACAACTGCATACCAAATATCATTGACCTACCACTGGTGGTTCACCATAAACTAGACCTAATCACAAACTAATACATTGTTGACGCCGCCGGAAACAGCATACCTATGTCTCGCTTTTTGACTCTGTCAAGGTGAGACAAAAACAGGGGGGGGGGGGGGGGGGGGGGGGGTGGGGGGTCAATTTTCCATGGGGTTCAAAATACCATATGCCAGATGTCATATTTGGCCCCGATTATTAAGTTCAATGTTTCAGGATAAAAAATGTTTGAAGTTGATGAAAAGACATGTGAGGAAGTTAAATACTGTGGATTCATTTTTATTCGTGGTATTTCGTGGGTCACAGCAAACCACGAATTTAAGAATTCATCGAAGAATAATCCCGAAAAATGTGTTTGGAGTCAGATGTTTATTTCCGGTTATGTTAAGCAGTTCTCGTATAGTGTTGATTAGCGATAAACTTTGCAACACAACACATGTTTCTATTGAAAGAAGATAAAAGTATTTTGATTAAATCAATAATAAAAAAAAATCGAATATTAGTGATAAACTACTTTTTAAAATTGATTAAAACTGTTCATGGAAAATAACTGTAAGTTGTTAATTACCGTGTCATAGTTTGGATTACTGGTGATTAAAAATCAATAGGATTAAGTATGGGGATATTGCCCGTAGGTAATATTGTTTATGACATGAACATTTATTTTCACACCTTTTACTTATATGACTGTTTATTTGATTAGGGAAATAAGCTTTCAATCATATATCAATCATAGAGATTTGAATGCCTGATAAAATTACCGACAAAAATTTATAAATTGTAAAACAAACATATAATTAGTTGTCTCTGTCCACGATTTTAATCGAAGTTTTCAATGAACACTTTAACCTAGAATGATCAAGCGAGGATTTTGACAATTTAAACTTTTTCAATGAATTCCTTCTTTTTTGTTTTATTATTGATCAAACCAAGGAAGTTATATGACATCCTAAATCAACCAGAAATTCATGAATTACGTATCTGAATTTATCTTTTTTTTCAGTCAGCAATCCACGAATTTACGTTTACCACGAAACGTCTTCTTTTCTCTATCCACGAAAATTGATACCCACGAAAATAAATGAATCCACAGTAGAAGTATTTTTGTCAAAGTTTTATTCTGAAGCATTGATTTTTACATTCCAAATAAGTAAAAAACAAGAGATTTTTGCAGAATTTGACAAAATCATACTGATTTCAACCAAATCGATGCCTAGGAAACATATGTTTCCTATCCAAGAAATCACTGGAAATTTATCCATTTTCATTGAATTTTCGTCGAAAATCAAATTGAGTGCTATTTGTGACGTCATGAACAGAGCGCAAGTACGTAGATTTTCAAAACAAATTATATTTTTGGATATTGTCATTGTATAAGCTATGATTCATTTTTGTATTGGTCAATTAATCCTAATTTTAAATTTTAACCAAAAATAGGGGCCATTTTAGGACCTTATCGAACCTACTCCTTTGTTTGTCTATACAAACCTAAAACTTCTAAGAGTTTTTGCTGTTCTTCGAAAATCTCAGATTCAGGCATAGAGTGTAACTTTTGTACATTCTCTTGGTGGATTTTTATGGCTTCATCCCTACCAAAAGTAGCACTTAGGCCTGTTCCTTCTATAGCACAAGGTCCTGCTACACCTATAAACATAAAAATAATGATGATGTACTTTGTATCCCTAAAGATTTTGCCATAGCTATAAAGATACCAATAAATGTTATATTTGTTATGGACCACTTATCCTCAGTTACCAGTTACTGTTAAATTATATTTTCTAGCAAAAAATACATGTTTTTCATGTATACAACATACCTCCAATAACTTAACACAAACATGTCTATCTTAATTCTATAAAATTCACATTACTTGAATTCAATATATACAAGTAAATACCTATTTTTCTATATTAACACATCATGGAACGATACATGTGATGAGCTGGGATGCTTTACTTTTAATTAATGTATTTGATTTATAAAAACATAACATTGACATACAAAACAATATCTAAGCGTGCATTACATTAATTTTTTCAAAACAATAACTTCTGAATATAAATTTCAAAACTACACTTTATGTTCCTCTTATGTATTTTGCATGTTGTTGATTTCAAGAAACATAAATTCTCCCTTAACTAAAATTTAGAATTATCCTCCAAATTTACTGACACAATAACAATACATTTGGTTCATTTGATGTGTTATCTTATCTTCTTGTTACTGGTACTTATAAGAAACTTATAATTCAATAGTGATCCTATTATTGTTGATAAAATTTAATTTTTTCATTGAAATTTCATATATTCATTGATCCTAAATCTAAAAGAAGAAATCTTTTTCACCTTTGCAAATGTGTGCACATTTGTAAATTCAAAGGTTTTATATTTAATAATAATTCCAATGAATTGTTTTTCAAGTAGATGATGCTACCCTACTTATTTTTGATATTATGAAACCATTCACCTTTTTAAACAGCAGTTAAGCTGCCTATCATCCAACCTAACTATACAGTTGATAAAAACACATATTCAATTGAAAGAGAAAGGTTATGGAAAATAGAAATGCAGCAAATATCAATACCGTTTTTTTTATGGTTCTCAGTCTCCTTTTTGTTCAATTGGTTTTATCTTTTATCATTTCAATAAACTGACCTCCTTCAGAAATTTCCATTTGATCTGGTTCCTCTCCCTCTTTAATTCTACTAGTTTCTTGTTCTACCATTGATCCAAAATCTTTAGCACCACTGGCATTGAACTGTTGTGCAAATAAACTTTTCTTCTTTTTCCCTGTTTTGGCTGTGGGTTGATTCTTCAAGTGTATAAACATTCTAATAATTCATAAACTATATAAATACTCTTCTCTTAAAGATTGTTCTATACTGACTACAAACATGTTTTGGTAGACCCAAATGAACTAAAAGGTTAGCCAAAAGTTTCTCAAGCATAATATATGGCAAATGCTGCAGAACCATGTATAAACATGATAAAGGGGATTGTATATATCATATCATATCATTTATATAATATAATGCTTTCTAATAAATGAACTTAAAGTTAAAAAGATGTTAAATTCTCCTGTTTTTATGAAATTTAGTTCTCAACTTGATCTCCAAGCACTGTAAACGATAATTGAAAAGATTATATTTCTTGAGGTGTTCTACATCAGTGTAAAGTTTCATCAGTATCGTCTAGCTTTTTAGGAGTTGTGCTAAGTTATTACCACATATTGCATATTGAAGTAAGTCAAATATATCATTTCCCTATAGTTGCTTACATCTTCTTCATTTCGTCTCTGGTGGATAGTTGTCTCATTTTCAATCATAACATCTTCTTATTTTTATATACATAGAGAGACAGACAGACTGGATGATTCCTCTACACCCTTTCAAAACAATGTAAAAGGTGTTAAGATATAAATTTGATTTCCAATACTGGTAAGGTTTAGAGGAACTATGTGGCACCATTGCTGGCTCATATTCCAGTGATGTATTTTTATAGATGGTCTTCAAATCATCATCCCTATGATAATATATGATATCTAAAAGTCCAAAATATAATTTCATGACTGCTTTTTATAAGTTAACATATGAATGGATTTGAAAAAATCGAACTAAAATTAATTTTCATAATGTGCTTGGTTTCTTAAAAACCTACTTACTGGCAGATTTTGCTGTTCAAGATGCTGCACTTTAGGAAATCCTTCAGCACATGGATTGGGTAAAGACACACCATCATTTCTAGTATCCCTCTCCTATAAACAAACAAAAAAACAACAGAATTATATTTGTTTGCTTTAAATCAGATAAGAAAAAATAGAACTGGGTCACTACATAACAACTACTTTTTACCTTATTCTCTGAACTTGTGTTTGTTAAAAATTTTAATTTAAAAAAAAAAAATAATGATTAATAAAAGCTTCATCCAGATATTGCAATATCATTAGTTGGGTACTTCAGAATATAAAGACTGGTTATTAAGAATCATTAAGAATTATATTAAGATTTCATAAAAATAATATTTGCTCAGTCTCCACACAATATATCAGTATACCATGATATTTACACCTATCTATTTTATCATCTTCAATAAATGACTGCTTTTAAAGTTTTTTTTCAAACTTAACTTACAATTATTTTGGTCAAAACCGCTGCCATATGTGTGTCATGTTCTGAAAAAAGGTGAATAAACATAAGAAGGAAGGAAAAATGTGTTTTGTGCAAATGCTGTTTATCTTCATGATTTGTGCTTAAACATGAAGATCGTTCTCTGGATTATATAGAAACATTCAAATGTGAGAAAAGAATGAGAAATTCTAAAATTCAATGTTTTTTTTATCTAATTCAATTTTTGTTGATTGTTTGGTGCATGCTTTCTCTAGTATTCGATGCTGATGATGATTTTGTGTAATTTTATAGTATATGTATTGATTAAGCATCAACTCTGAATAAGAAATCTGTGCTTTTCCTCTGTTCTATGTTGTTGTTGATGTTTTTGTGTAATTTTGTAGTACTGTCAAACCTGTACATGTAGGTCACCCTCGGGACCAGAGAAAACTGACCTTATCAGATAGCTGACCTTTGAATTGAGGTTCAAAATGAATATGTATTACTACAGTGGGACAAGAAGTGGGTGGCCTAGACACGGATTGCACTTAATAGAGATGACTTTTATAGCATGTTTGACTGTGCATGAAAAAAAAAGCATCAACTCTGAATAAGATATCTGTTTTTATCTTCTGTGACATACTATCCATTTCTTCTTCAGGATCAAATGTTGCATCTCTTGAAAGTTTTGATTTCTGTTCTTGAGACTTCCGAAACTTTGATTTCTTTACTGGAATGTGTTCAGAAGGAACTTCAGATGGTAAACCTTTCAAATAAAATAAAACAGTTATACACAGTAGTTGATAGTTAAACTTTTCTGGAAAAAAACAAGAATCCAGATATCCATATTCATCAATAAATAGGATACGAGTATAAACAGATGTGGTGCATATCTCAATGATACAACAACCCAACAACACAATACAACAACAGATCTGATAACTTGATCTCAACATAAAGTCTTTTACAATAAGCAAGTGGACATACTTTGTGCCCAGCTTTACGTCATAAGGTTATACCAGTGATATGCCATCAAAATTCAATTCCTTCAATGTCAGACAAGAAAGACTAAGCTATAAACATAGACAACTACTGATCAGGTTCCTAATTTGTGACAGACACATTAAGCTATAAACATAGACACCTACTGATAAGGTTCCTAATCTGTGACAGACACATTAAGCTATAAACATAGACACCTACTGATCAGGTTCCTAATCTGTGACAGACACATTAAGCTATAAACATAGACAACTACTGATCAGGTTCCTAATCTGTGAAAGACACATTAAGCTATAAACATAGACAACTACTGATCAGGTTCCTAATTTGTGACAGACACATCAAGCTATAAACATAGAGTTAGACACCTACTGATCAGATTCCTAATTTGTGACAGACACATTAAGCTATAAACATAGACAACTACTGATCAGGTTCCTAATCTGTGACAGACACATTAAGCTATAAACATAGAGTTAGACACCTACTGATCAGGTTCCTAATTTGTGACAGACACATTAAGCTATAAACATAGACACCTACTGATCAGGTTCCTAATTTGTGACAGACACATTAAGCTATAAACATAGAGTTAGACACCTACTGATCAGGTTCCTAATCTGTGACAGACACATTGAGCTATAAACATAGACAACTACTGATCAGGTTCCTAATCTGTGACAGACACATCAAGCTATAAACATAGAGTTAGACAACTACTGATCAGGTTCCTAATCTGTGACAGACACATTGAGCTATAAACATAGAACACTACTGATCAGGTTCCTAATTTGTGACAGACACATTACGCTATAAACATAGAGTTAGACACCTACTGATCAGGTTCCTAATTGGTGACAGACATATTAAGCTATAAACATAGACAACTACTGATCAGGTTCCTAATCTGTGACAGACACATCAAGCTATAAACATAGACAATTACTGATCAGGTTCCTAATCTGTGACAGAAACATTGAGCTATAAACATAGACAACTACTGATCAGGTTCCTAATCTGTGACAGACACATCAAGCTATAAACATAGACAACTACTGATCAGGTTCCTAATCTGTGACAGACACATCAAGCTATAAACATAGACACCTACTGATCAAGTTCCTAATTTGTGACAGACACATCAAGCTATAAACATAGACAACTACTGATCAAGTTCCTAATTTGTGACAGACACATCAAGCTATAAACATAGACAACTACTGATCAGGTTCCTAATTGGTGACAGACACATGAAGCTATAAACATGACAACTACTGATCAGGTTCCTTATCTGTGACAGACACAACAAGCTATAAACATAGACAACTACTGATCAGGTTCCTAATCTGTGACAGACACATCAAGCTATAAACATAGACAACTACTGATCAGGTTCCTAATCTGTGACAGACACATCAAGCTATAAACATAGAGTTAGACACCTACTGATCAGGTTCCTAATTTGTGACAGACACATTAAGCTATAAACATAGACACCTACTGATAAGGTTCCTAATCTGTGACAGACACATTAAGCTATAAACATAGACACCTACTGATCAGGTTCCTAATCTGTGACAGACACATTAAGCTATAAACATAGACAACTACTGATCAGGTTCCTAATCTGTGAAAGACACATTAAGCTATAAACATAGACAACTACTGATCAGGTTCCTAATTTGTGACAGACATATCAAGCTATAAACATAGAGTTAGACACCTACTGATCAGATTCCTAATTTGTGACAGACACATTAAGCTATAAACATAGATAACTACTGATCAGGTTCCTAATCTGTGACAGACACATTAAGCTATAAACATAGACACCTACTGATCAGGTTCCTAATTTGTGACAGACACATTAAGCTATAAACATAGACAACTACTGATCAGGTTCCTAATTTGTGACAGACACATTAAGCTATAAACATAGACACCTACTGATCAGGTTCCTAATTTGTGACAGACACATTAAGCTATAAACATAGACACCTACTGATCAGGTTCCTAATCTGTGACAGACACATCAAGCTATAAACATAGAGTTAGACACCTACTGATCAGGTTCCTAATCTGTGACAGACACATTAAGCTATAAACATAGACAACTACTGATCAGGTTCCTAATTTGTGACAGACACATTAAGCTATAAACATAGACACCTACTGATCAGGTTCCTAATTGGTGACAGACACATCAAGCTATAAACATAGAGTTAGACACCTACTGATCAGGTTCCTAATTTGTGACAGACACATTAAGCTATAAACATAGACAACTACTGATCAGGTTCCTGATTTGTGACAGACACATTAAGCTATAAACATAGACACCTACTGATCAGGTTCCTAATTGGTGACAGACACATTAAGCTATAAACATAGACACCTACTGATCAGGTTCCTAATTGGTGACAGACACATTAAGCTATAAACATGGAGTTAGACACCTACTGATCAGGTTCCTGATCTGTGACAGACACATTAAGCTATAAACATAGACACCTACTGATCAGGTTCCTAATTGGTGACAGACACATTAAGCTATAAACATAGAGTAAGACACCTACTGATCAGGTTCCTGATCTGTGACAGACACATTAAGCTATAAACATAGACACCTACTGATCAGGTTCCTAATTGGTGACAGACACATTAAGCTATAAACATAGAGTAAGACACCTACAGATCAGGTTCCTGATCTGTGACAGACATATTAAGCTATAAACATAGACACCTACTGATCAGGTTCCTAATTGGTGACAGACACATTAAGCTATAAACATAGACACCTACTGATCAGGTTCCTAATTGGTGACAGACACATTAAGCTATGAACATAGAGTTAGACACCTACTGATCAAGTTCCTGATCTGTGACAGACACATTAAGCTATAAACATAGACACCTACTGATCAAGTTCCTAATTTGTGACAGACACATCAAGCTATAAACATAGACAACTACTGATCAAGTTCCTAATTTGTGACAGACACATCAAGCTATAAACATAGACAACTACTGATCAGGTTCCTAATTGGTGACAGACACATGAAGCTATAAACATGACAACTACTGATCAGGTTCCTTATCTGTGACAGACACAACAAGCTATAAACATAGACAACTACTGATCAGGTTCCTAATCTGTGACAGACACATCAAGCTATAAACATAGACAACTACTGATCAGGTTCCTAATCTGTGACAGACACATCAAGCTATAAACATAGACAACTACTGATCAGGTTCCTAATCTGTGACAGACACATCAAGCTATAAACATAGAGTTAGACACCTACTGATCAGGTTCCTAATTTGTGACAGACACATTAAGCTATAAACATAGACAACTACTGATCAGGTTCCTGATTTGTGACAGACACATTAACCTATAAACATAGACACCTACTGATCAGGTTCCTAATTGGTGACAGACACATTAAGCTATAAACATAGACACCTACTGATCAGGTTCCTAATTGGTGACAGACACATTAAGCTATAAACATAGAGTAAGACACCTACTGATCAGGTTCCTGATCTGTGACAGACACATTAAGCTATAAACATAGACACCTACTGATCAGGTTCCTAATTGGTGACAGACACATTAAGCTATAAACATAGAGTTAGACACCTACTGATCAGGTTCCTGATCTGTGACAGACACATTAAGCTATAAACATAGACACCTACTGATCAGGTTCCTAATTGGTGACAGACACATTAAGCTATAAACATAGAGTTAGACACCTACTGATCACGTTCCTGATCTGTGACAGACACATTAAGCTATAAACATAGACACCTACTGATCAGGTTCCTAATTTGTGACATACACATTGAGCTATAAACATAGATAACTACTGATCAGGTTCCTAATTTGTGACAGACACATTGAGCTATAAACATAGATACCTACTGAGCAGGTTCCTAATTTGTGACAGACACATTAAGCTATAAACATAGACAACTACTGATCAGGTTCCTGATTTGTGACAGACACATTTAGCTATAAACATAGACACCTACTGATCAGGTTCCTAATTGGTGACAGACACATCAAGCTATAAACATAGACAACTACTGATCAGGTTCCTAATCTGTGACAGACACATCAAGCTATAAACATAGACACCTACTGATCAAGTTCCTAATTTGTGACAGACACATCAAGCTATAAACATAGACAACTACTGATCAAGTTCCTAATTTGTGACAGACACATCAAGCTATAAACATAGACAACTACTGATCAGGTTCCTAATTGGTGACAGACACATGAAGCTATAAACATGACAACTACTGATCAGGTTCCTTATCTGTGACAGACACAACAAGCTATAAACATAGACAACTACTGATCAGGTTCCTAATCTGTGACAGACACATCAAGCTATAAACATAGACAACTACTGATCAGGTTCCTAATCTGTGACAGACACATCAAGCTATAAACATAGAGTTAGACACCTACTGATCAGGTTCCTAATTTGTGACAGACACATTAAGCTATAAACATAGACACCTACTGATAAGGTTCCTAATCTGTGACAGACACATTAAGCTATAAACATAGACACCTACTGATCAGGTTCCTAATCTGTGACAGACACATTAAGCTATAAACATAGACAACTACTGATCAGGTTCCTAATCTGTGAAAGACACATTAAGCTATAAACATAGACAACTACTGATCAGGTTCCTAATTTGTGACAGACATATCAAGCTATAAACATAGAGTTAGACACC